GGGGGGGGGGGGGGGGGGGTCTGATGCTTCTGCAGAGAATGCGGAGCTCAAAACAGACCCAACCGTGTCCTTGCACATGCAGCGTGCATCTGGCGATGTTTGACGGACGGAGGAGGAGACAAGTCAAATGAATTTGTCAGTGTGTGAAACAGGGCATGTAGTGATTGTACTTGCGGCCAGCGCATCTGTTGTCGCACACTTCGGAACCATCCACGAATTCGCAGGTATCCTGCTGCAGCTGGCCTTTGTACCGCAGGTGGCATGATAACGACGGAGCAGGACTTGTGACGGTGTTGGAGTTATGTGCCAAGACCGGATTAAGATCCAGCCGCATGTGACTTCAGGTTCTGCTGGCCTAGCCACCGGGAAGAACCCGCAGCCTGTGCCTTGATAATGATTCCTAGCCGTGCTCAGTCTTCCGGCCAGGCCAGAAGTGCTCGAAGGCTTAGCCTTGCAGAGCCAACAGATTCTGCGCTCTATGCGATTGTGGGCAGACGGCACGCTGGATGTAAAGTGATGTATAAGTCTGTCGACTGTCTGTGGTAAAACAACGCAACTGACGTGTCATACCCCTGCAATAGCCTCCGCACGACGGATGGAACAGCGCTCGCAGCTCGCTCAGCAGAAAAGGCAGAAGCCACAGCTGTGGGGCAACTCCAGTTGTACTGCCGAGCGATCTGCTCAATGGTGCCTTGAGTTGCCGTGGTCCTCAAGGCGATTCATTGAGACCATGTCTCAGCAGGAAAGTAATTATGCTCTGTAGCCAGACTGTATGACTAACAGGTAAGTTGCCCGCAAGCAGACAAGATAGTCGGCACGGTAAGCCGGCGTACATGTAGAGCTCGCTACTTCGGGTGGGTGCGTGTCAGCATGCGCGATGCAGAGGCGAGGACAGAGGACACCGTAGGTTGCTATACGTTGCTGGTGCGCTAACTTATTGAGGTGTGTGCACGTCGGCGATGCCCGAGCAGTCGGTAACTGATTGTCCTGTGGGCATTAAATATAGGGTTGCAAACAAAGGGTCTGCCCGGATGTGTAACCTGTGTTTAGATGGTCGTCTCCAAATGCAAAGTTCTCAAATCTTCGAAAGCAGTCCACGGGCACGGGGGTAGGCACCTGCGAGTTTCCAGTTGGCAACGCACAAGCACAGGCTGGACGCAGCAATCTCAATCTCAGCGAGGTGAGGATGGAACGGACGCTAGGTGTGTGTGTGTGTGTGTGTGTGTGCGGGTGTGTTTCCTTTTAGTTCTTTCAGAATCAACTCAGCTTCTCGGTGTGCAGAAATCCAGGTTGACGACAGCTTGGGCAAAGCACTGGGCCACAGCAACGAGCTGGAAAAGCGGGCCTGCTCCCTTCGATTCGACTTGAGTCTGCGGAACCGTTCTAGTAGAACCCAAAGAAATCCCGTTTGCGAGGCGCAGCACCTTCAGGCCCTGCCGTCGGTCTTCATTCAGCTCGATGAGTAGCTTTTGCTGCATGCGAGCCAAGGTGCACTTTCAAAAAGCGCTGAAAGGAATCGGAGACATCAACAGGCCTGGGCTCTCGGAACAGTCAGTCCTTCAATGCATGCTATGACAAGGGGTGCTCGCGGAGAAACGCACAACAAGGAGATTCATGATGCATCCAGTGGAGGTTTGCAAAGGCCGAAGGGTCCCTTGTAGTAGAAACTGTTGAACTAGGCCGACACACAGCACAAGCACACAGATAGCTTTTTGACTTACTTAAATTAGCTTTTACTTAGCATGGCGGAAACTGCCGAATTCACTCAGCATATGTTCTGCCTACAGAACTACAGCGTATTTTGGGGCGTGACTCTAAACGCGCCGGTTGGCTCCGGCATTCGGGATTTTGGTCGTCAGTAAGGGTATAGTCTTCAGCAGCCCCGATCTCGAAAAGGCGAAGCCCCTCCCACTGTCGACAGGTTGTGCGATGAGGCCTGCGCACGGATGCTGCGAACACTTAGGGCAAGCTACACCTTATTTTATGCCAGTGCCACCACTGTACTGGTTTGTGTTTCTGAGGCAGATGCCTCGGTCGCCCGCAACCAGCTTAAGTCTCAATGGTTTTGAGAGACGTGTCTATTTTGTGCTGTCATCAAAGTGCTCCGACTGCAGGGCCCTGCTAAATCGCTCTGCGCATCGAATTCACGACTTGAACGAGCGGCTGCAGCAACTCATCAAGGCTGGCAGGAGACAAATCGATTCTAGACTTAAAGCTCATCGCGTTCCTTTACTGCCGTCATGTTGTTTTGCTTGTTACGTGTGTTTGCATGCGTCAGCCAAGTCGATTTGCGTAGATTTCTGTAGCTGAAACTGTGTTATTCAGGTCAGCACGGATGGCCGTGAGTCCGTTGCTTCGGCAGGGTCCGGCAGGCGTCCGAGCATAGCCGCAGCAGATCGCAGCAGCTCGAGTTTCACAGACGAGAAGCCCAACATGCAAGCGAGACGTCTCAGACAACGTTGGCACAAATTTCTTGCCTGTCGATTCGTGAGGACACACTGTAGCCGTCGGTGGCCAATTCATTGAAGCATTGGCTGAGGTGTTGAGGTGCCACAGAAACGTGGAGCCGAAACACGCCGAAGCCTTTGACATCACGGACACCCTGCTCAAGGTAAATAAATAAAGAAAGTGTTGCTCTCCAGGTTCCAGACTTTCTCAGACGACAATAATTTGGGTGGTTTGCTTGTTGCGAAGTGAAAGGAAAGCAGATCTACGAACCAGGCCAAGCAAAGGAACCAGCATATCGAATCGGTCGACCTCGATTGCCGAGGGCATGTAGCCATATGACGGGGAACAGCACTTGGCGGTCCGGGCATGAGGGCACTATCTGTAGCGCAGAGCATGCAGCTACACAATGGTTACTGAGTACGACGATATTCACCTGCCAACCGTGTAATTGACGCTCATGATAAAGATGAAGCACGTGCAGACAAGTGCCCGCGTCAGTTGTTCGACATTTCGCACAGTGCTTGTCCTGGTGTGGACACAAGGCATGAAGACAAGCAAAAGCAAGCCAAGCGCCGGAGTGAGAAGGCAGCTGCTGCTTGCACGATATCGCACCTTCGTTCACAGCATTTCAATGTGCTTGGCAGCAAATTAACTAAGTGATTATTACCATCCGCCGATGCGAAAGATTTAAGCAGACCTGGTTGAGGCCGTCGTTCAGCAGGCATCGGCCGATGCGGATGCTGTTTTGGTTGTGCCATCGTGTGCCTGGTGCACAGCAAATACACGATGCAATGTCAACATGAGTCCGCTGACAGGAGCAGTGCAGGCTAGGCAAAGCGAATAGGCGGGAAGCCGACCGAACGAATTTCTGGCGGTTTGGCAGCTGCGAACGTGTTGAATGCTGACTTCAGCGTCGCTGTCCATGTGGAAGTTCGTGCCTGCTTGTGCTGAGTTCAATCAACTGTGTAGGTTTGCTTTCGTGGGCCGTGCAGCCAGGTGTCCCGTGCAAGGCACAGGACTGCATACGTACAAGTAAAGTGGAAGAGGTAGCCGGTGGCTCGCAGCAGGAGACTACAACCCGGCCACAAGCTGCAGCACGACCCTCTTCAAATGCCGATAAGCTCTCAAAGGTCCAATTCTCAATGTCTGCCGCTGTGTGCCCACCATGAGAAATCGCACGCCCCGCTCGTGCATGAGGTAAGGCAGAAGCCCGCATGAGCAGCAGCCAATGTGAAGTGCCGCAGCCCGACAAAGCCGGGCGAAGGCGAAAGAATTGTACTGAAAAGTGCATCGGAGCTGATGCTATGATTCGCTGATCATGCACGCATGTGCCCCATGCTTAGAAAACGTACATGCTTAGCGTTCAAAATTTGGCACCGAAGCTCATAGGTCAGCTCGGCAAATACACTGTTTGCCAGTCCAAGTGAGAGCCACTTGATCAGCATCGAGAACAGACGAGCGCATCAGCAGAAACAGTCTTGAAAGACATCAGGCTCGCAGAATACTGCAAAGCATGGTAGATCGTGTTGCGGTTGTCCGTCAAAGACAACCAGACACGAGCACTTCTCGCCTAAGCTCGTCAGGGGCAACGTTCTCTGGGAATGTGCACAGCTGAGCAGGAGGCGCGTGGTAGGCTGCACGCTGCAGAGCGCAGTTTTGGTTTCGTCTTCTGGGGGTCGGACGGCATGGGAATCGAAGCGCGGTAGACCCAAGATTCGGATGTGTGCTGTGTACTGGCAACCATTAGTTGAGTGACCTGTTTGCTGCATGTGTTTGTTCGTTTATTCTGTCCGAACGCCTGTAGCAAGCGATCTGCCGATGACAGTCTCCTTCCACGAGGAGGTTCGGCTTACTTAGGATTTTATTCCCATGTAAAATGACTCCTGCGACCCTCTGCCCAATGGAAACACAGTGAACTCGCGGGAGAAAGGTCGGAGGAAGCCATGGCGAGTTTCTTCCACTTCGCTGGATGCAGAAGACACTTATTCAGGCTTTTTCAGGCTTCAGACTTCGAGATGTGCGGGGTTCAAGTCTAGCGTGAAGGGAGCAGAGTCAAGGGATTTCTGGTCCCTGTACTTGGGAGGAGCCTGACCCTGACCTATCCGGCACCACTGCACAGCTCGACAATCCACACACACTCCAACAATAGGCGGAAAATCAGAGAACCGTGGGTGGTTGGTCAATATCCGGAAGGACATGGCTCGCGAGCCCGGAGCCGAGGCAAAAGCTTTGGCGAGGGGTTTAAGTGATTGAAGGGCGTTGGCCCCCTGCGAGGGGTTGGTTGAGGGTTAAGTGAAAGGGTTTAGGGTTGAGGGTTGAGGTTTAAGGGTTTAAGGGTTTAAGGGTTTAAGGGTTTAAGGGTTTTAGGGTTTTAGGGTTTTAGGGTTTTAAGGGTTTTAAAGGTTTTAAAGGGTTTAGGGTTCAGGGTTTTGGGTTTGGGGTTTAGGGGTTTGGGTTTAAGGGTTTAGGGTTTAGGGTTTAGGTTTTAAGGGTTTAGGTTTTAAGGGTTTAGGGGTTAGGGTTTAAGGGTTCAGGGTTTAGGGTTTAGGGTTTGTCTTCTGGCAGTGTCGTAAC